CTCTTGAGAGCAGGGACAATTTGTTTTGTTCTGTGTTTGTACAGAGCCTAACACATCGAGGTCTTGGTTCACAATGAAGGCTTCTAAGCATTATTGTCAAACTAATAATCCATAATAATGATGAATCTTGATCTTGGGGGTTCTTCCCCAGCCCACCAGGGCCAAACTGACACACCAGCAGCCTGCTTACGCCTTATGTGCCAGCACCATGAGGTAGGGATAGGGACAAATTCATGATCCTTAACATTCTTGGGCTCAGTTATCTGCCTATGGGCCTCACCAATGCGTTGGTTGAACCAGCTCTGCCAGTGTTAGCTGCCCGGGGGGATTTTATGAATCAACGCTCTCCTTCTGATGAGAGTCACAGTAAGGTCAGCCCCCTTTGCGACAGAGGTTGTACAAACTCATGATAATGACAATCCTTACCCTGGAGAGATTAAGGTATAAAAGACAGTACAGTAATAGGCAGACGAATGTAAGGGACAAAGAGCAGTGAAACCCTACAAAGACCCAATCCAAAGCTCATTGAACTCAATGGAAGGTTTCCCCCACTGATTTGAATGGGCTTTAGTTCAGTCTCCCAACTACACTTAAGGTTGCAGAGGGATGAGCTGGCGTGGGGAAGGGCCGTGAGAAATCAGTGGTGCTGTAACTGGAGACTGCAGGGCCAGAACACTCTATGACAAGAGACAGCACAATTAGTACCTCGTGCTTCCCACAATTTAGATTTCTAGAAAGCTGGTGGCTCCTGCTTTAATTATCTCAGCAAAGACCTCACACCAGCGAGCGCCTTATTGTAATATGGGTGCATTGAATAATACATATTTACTGCGAAGAAAGGAAGGTGTTATTGTGTGGGAAGAATTTGGCAGCTCTGAATACCGAACAGCAGTTTCTGCAGAGCAGGAGGATTCAAGCCGGTAATCAGCCCCCTCTAGTATTAAAAGGAACTGTCTAAATGTCAAGTCAGGTCCGATAAATGAGCCACTAACTCATTTAGAAATGGCTCCGGATGGCAAATTAAAAGTTTTGCTGCTAATTATGCTCCTTATTTTAGATTTCTGTGAATTCTTACTTTTTGTTTTCATTCCAATAAGAGAATCATTGGCTGCCAAAATGCTCAGAAAACTGAGGCTAAGCAAATTTGTGCACAGAAAATAAGAACTTGGCTGAACCTCACTCACAAGCATTTCAAAGGATCAAAAACTACAGGGCTGTGTATAGACTGGCAAGTTTTTCCGCAAAAGCGGAAAAACTTGCCAGTTGTCTACACTGGCCGCTTGAATTTCCGCAAGAACACTGACTTCCTACTGTCTGAAATCAGTGCTTCTGGCAGAAATACTATGCTGCTCCCGTTCAGGCAAAAGTCCTTTTGTGCAAAAGGGCCAGTGTAGACAGCTTAGATTTGTTTTGCGCAAAAAAGCCCCGATCGCAAAAATGGCGATCGGTGCTTTTTTGCGCAAAAGCGCGCCTAAATTGGCCACGGACGCTTTTCCGCAAAAAGTGCTTTTGCGGAAAAGTGTCCGTGCCAATCTAGATGCTCTTTTCCGAAAATGCTTTTAACGGAAAACTTTTCAGTTAAAAGCATTTGCGGAAAATCATGCCAGTCTAGACGTAGCCCAGGTGTGCTTTAATCTCACCCAAGCCCCCTCTGCTGTACATCAGCCTGAGACCTACCAGGACCCAGTGATTCATTCCATTTCCTGCCCAGCAAGGCCCCTCTTTTCCACTCTGGCTTCTGGTCTGTACCCAGGCCTTTGCAGCTATAGATTCTAGATCCATCAGAGCTCTCAGCAGGTCTGAAAATCTCTGGTGGGCCCAGCCTGATCATTGTTTTCAACTCTTGCAGGATCAAGGACCTTCCTTAATCAGTGGTACCCCTGGAATATATTGCAACTGCCCCCCATTGGCCTGTCCTCAAACCATCCATTTCTGCCCTGTCAACTTTTTCTATCCCTCCCACTGAAAAGCTTCCTTCCTGCCATGTTGAGCCCCCTCTCAGTGCGGGGCTTGTCCTTGCACAGAGCTCCGTGCCTCCTGCAAGGTCCTGAGCTCCTCCAACTCACATTAATCTCAAGAGAAATACATCCCAGTTCCTTGCAAGAGGCACTCACCTGTTTATACAATGTGGCCCTTATATTTCCTGTTTCAGACATATTAGAAAACAGCTATTTGGCCTCTGTAACTACTCAGCGCTGGCACATCCCTACAGAAAAGCAGTAACAAAGAACTCAAGGTTTATGCCTGATTGGGTCTCTTAATTGCACGGAGAGAACAATTATCTCCCACCAGCCCAAATGGCCACACATCCTGGCATTCTTTCATCATCTCATGCCTTCGCTTCTCCTCCTGTGCCTGCATCACCTTCAGCTCTCTCAACCAAGATGAGGTAAAGGGCAAGTATGGCATGTGATAGTGGTTAACCTGCTTGAGCAATGGTAGTTAGCTGACCTACGTGTCCTATGGCCAGATTCAGGAGTGGCTGAAGTGTTAGACTCATGGAGACTGAATGGAGACATAAGCAATATCACAGTGGAACTGGCTATTTGTTGTGTTAATCAGGTAGTTTGGTTCTGATAGTGACATATAACTATCTGGTCTACACTACAGCAGAAGGTCGAATTAAGATACACTACTTCAGTTATGTTTAATTACGTAGCGGGAGTCAACATATCTTAAATCACATTTCCATGCCATCCACATCAGCTTCCCTTACTCTTCACAAAAGAAGGAATACCAGATGTCGGCAGGAGCTGCTCTCAGCATTCTATTTATGGGCCTATATTAGACCTGCTAAATCGAACACCAGAAGATTGACCTCTGGAGCATCAGTCTTCCGTGTAGTATAGATGTGGCCTTTGACTCTTGCTACTCTAGCTGCCTCAATAACCTGCAGCAGTGAGTTCCATAGGTTACTTAGACTGTCTAGTTAAAGGTATTTAATGTTATCCGTGGAATTCCATTGAGCATCCCCTGGTGGGAGTCTGGAGGCTAGAGGGACAGGTACAGATGGGAGAGGAGTAAAGTTGGAAGATGATTGTGTGGACAGAAATGAAAAATGAAATGTTACATCATCAAATAGGCAAGCCCAAAGTACCACCAACCTAACTCAAATCACCCGTCCTCCCCCCATTAGCCAGAACCCTCCTGCCAAGGTGCTAAAACTTCTCTCACTTTGGTTGCTGCCTCAGACAATATTCCTGGACAGGGTGATTTCTCTCTATTATTGTAGCATGTTAGCCATCTCTATAGCAACAAAAATTGAATTTCAAAAGGAGGCTAGCCTAGTGGGAGTCAGGTACCCATCACCCTTAAAAAACCCACTTTAATTTACAGTGACCAGAATTATTCATGGTTTCCCAGGCCTGTTCACCCTCCTGTATAACACAGGTCATAGAACTTCCTCAACATAATTGCTTTTGAACTAGAGCCTCTCTTTTAGAAAAAAGCCCAATCTGGATTTAAAAATTGCCAATGACGGTGATTCTACAACCTTGATCTTCAGGTTTTGTTTGCTTATTTTCTTCACTCCCTTCTTCAGTTTTTTTCATCTCAATTTCTTCATAACTGTCAGCGAAGAGTACCACAATGTCTGAAACAGAAAAGCAGTTGGTCTGATAGTGCACTGACTGTGCTGACTGTAAGTAGGCTCATCCTTAACCAGAGCCATGTGATGTGTGGCCAAAACCCTTGTCTCACACAGAAAAATGATATTGGAACAGGATGATGATCCATTTAGTTTTGTTTTAATTGGGTGCTTCAGGGGAAAGAGAAAACCCTGGACATCGTACCTGAGTAACATAGACATGGGAAGGAGCAGCATGACAGGTGACCTCCAACTTTTCACTGTGAAAAGTTTGCTGGTGCTATCAGAATGAAACAAACATTATTTCACGGTTCTTGGAACTCCCAGAGCAGTGCTGCACCCTTGTGATGGGAATGGGAATTGTACTTTTCCACATGACTTTTGAATACACCTGTTTTGTGGGCTGACGTTCAGTAACCATGAAGCATTAGGATGGAAGTTACTTCCTAATCTCAGCAGGGAACCATTTTATGTTCCTAAGCATATAACTAGGTAATTAATGTAGCTTTGTTTGTATCAAATCAGACTGACCCAGTTCAGAGAGGACAGAAAAGTGCATAGTTTTTTTTTTTTTTTAACAGGAATCCTCTGAGTTGGAGATATGCATATTGATTCAACAACAGGTAGCATGTGAAGTCTCTATCGAGAGCCAGTTGCCCACTGGTTGCCATAACCATTGCAAATGTATGTACACCTAGGCTACGTCTAGACTGGCATGATTTTCCGCAAATGCTTTTAATGGAAAAGTTTTCCGTTAAAAGCATTTGTGGAAAAGAGCGTCTAGATCGGCACGGACGGGGCTTTTTTGTGCAAAACAAATCTGAGCTGTCTACACTGGCCCTTTTGTGCAAAAGGACTTGTGCCCGAATGGGAGCAGCATAGTATTTCCGCAAGAAGCACTGATTTCTTACATGAGATCGTCAGTGTTCTTGCGGAAATTCAAGCGGCCAGTGTAGACAGCTGGCAAGTTTTTCCGCAAAAGCAGCTGCCTACTTCAAAATAACCCTCTGTTTAAGGAGTTCTATAGTTAAGTTCTTAAGGCAGATAAACAGGCATAGGCATGGCTCAGACAGTTCCTTTCAAGGCAGTGGGTAACAGATGCCTCTCTCCCTCTCGTCATTGGATACTGTGCTAATATCAATGCAGGCCTATTTGTATACTGAGCCAGATGCTGATTAAGGGGGTTGTGAAATCTACAAGTAAGGAATATACAGGACAAGGCAACCAGCAGTGGGCGTCCTGCCTATGAAAAAGGACACAGAATTGCTCTGCTATATCTGGGGGTGCAGATACGCTGGATCTTGGCTCACACATGGATGATCACAACCAAGCCTGGCTGTAAAATGCTGGAAGGATTTGGGTGATCATTTCTCTGTAAGACGGGAAAGTATCTAGTTAATGAAGTCTAGGTTTTAGAATGTGTGTTATGGTTTTATTTTATATGTGCTCCTTTGTTTCCAAGACATCTACTTGCTGCCCTTGAATTGCTATGCTTTGTTAAGCTTATACTGATTTTTACTTTAAACATGTCTGTGGACTGCGTGCTTGGCAGAGTGGTGATCTGAGGTGGAACTGATTAGCCGGAGAGTATGGCTTCTTTGCAAACAGTAAATCTGTGGATACTGCAAGTGTCCAGTGGAACATGGGCTGGGTGCTCCAGGGAGACTCTTGAAGCTTGTGTTGCCCATGGCAGGTGAAGTCAAGGAGCCGACCCACAGCAGTGACAGACAAGTCTCCCTCACACATGGGTGATGCACGGAGGGACATGAGGGAACACATGTTCCCCAAATGCCATGAGCAGGAAGGGTTAGGGGCTGGCCAGCAGCCAGCAGGACCAAAGTCCTGAGCATCCAGGTAAACTAGTGAGGCCACCTGGTGCCTGTAACAGGAGTTGGGCCCCCCACACTCACCAGCAGTGGCAGGGAAAACAGAGCAATGTGGCCCCACCTCACACTGCTTTCTTGTGCATGTGGTCACCTATTTTCCAGGCACACCTGTTTCACAGGTGCCTGTTTTTGAACATGTGACTGTGATCTCAGTGTGTGGAAATTTACTGTCATTTTCTCTCTCAAGTACATTTGGTTTATTGCCTGACCCTGTTAGGCCCCAGCTCAGCCAGAAGTTATAGACATTGCAGGAACTACTTAGTAGTCTGTGTTTTGCAGGAGGTCACACTAGATCAGCGGTCCTCAAACTTTTTACCTCATGCCCCACTTACCCTGGTGGTGTTCTCTCCCCCAGATCCAGGGCTGGGAGTGGGGCTGTGGCTCTGGGAGGTGGGGTTGTGGATGGGGATAAGGGGACTGAGGCAGGGCCTATAGCTGGGGGTGGGGGCAGGCCTGGGAGTAGAGCTCTGGCCAGGAGCAGAGCTGGGTGGCATCCCCTCCCCCTTCCTCCCACAGAGACCTCAGCACTAGATGACCATAGTGGACTCTCTGGCCTTAAAAATCTATGAATGTGTCCCAGAGTGAGAGGGATTTCTAACCCTGGATTCCCTTGGCTCTTTGTCCCAGAGCTCCCTAGCCACTCACTAACCCATTCAATACCCTGTCACATGCCTTATATCCTGCTGTGTTTCTGATTAAAATTTCTGCTGCCCTAGGAGATTAACAAATATCTATGTTTAATCCCTGTTTGTTCCAGATTTAGCTACGTTTATTTTTTAAGAGTATATTTTATGAACAATCACCAGTTTATATTGCAGGACATTTTAGTTCTAAGCAGATAGGATTTTTTGGTACTTATCTCACTGACTGTTTCCCATACTGTCCAAAATCACTGGTATGCATGCTCTAGTGCTTTCCACCACTATCAACAGGCAAAACAGCAATAAACCCAGCTTCACCGGTGAGTAGTGTTAGTTAGGGTGAACTAGCAACTGGAGCCTGCTGGTGAATCCGTCCCCAAATGCTTACAGTGCTGTGTGCACTTGGTCTTAGCACACATACTATGTGCAGTGCCAGAGCAAGCAGGGCCCCAGTCCTGGATGATGACCCCACTGTGCTAGGCACAGCACAGTTAAATGTGGTAGTGTCTAACCCAGGTTTATTATGAAAGGAGGCCTTACTACAAAATGCAGGACAATGTAGCACTTTAAAGACTAACAAGATGGTTTATTAGATGATGAGCTTTCGTGGGCCAGACCCACTTCCTCAGATCCAGGATCTGAGGAAGTGGGTCTGGCCCACGAAAGCTCATCATCTAATAAACCATCTTGTTAGTCTTTAAAGTGCTACATTGTCCTGCATTTTGCTTCAACTACCCCAGACTAACACGGCTACATTTCTACCGCCTTACTACACTGCTGCTTATGCTGTTAAATGCATATTGTAAATACACTGGATGTGCAACATGGCCAAATTAATACTGTTGTAGGAACCTGTCCTTTTGGATTTCCTGGGCCTCGTTTGAATTGGTTCCACACCAGGAAAGTGAGTGGAGTTACTCCTGATTTTCACTTGGCTAAGTCAGATCAAAATCAGGCCCATTGCCATGTGTGTACTTCACTTATTGACCTATACATTAAGGCTATGTCTACACTGCAGCACTATTTCAGGATATTGGAGGAATCCTGAAATAGCTATCCCACGTCTTCACATCAAGCCTGTTATTTCGAAATATAACAGGCTTGCTATTCCAAAGTCCCTGTAAATCTCATTCCATGAGGAGTAAGGGACATTTTGGAATAGTGGGTTATTTCAAAATTTGGCGCTGTGTAGACAGCGCCAAATTACGAAATAAGCTATTTTGAAATAAGATCGAAATAAGATATGCAATGTGCGTAGCTCACATTGCATATCTTATTTCGACCTATGGTGCAGTGTAGATGCCCCCTAAAACAGCATGAGCTTTTGTGAGATTACAGGTAGATACTACTGGCAGTTTATCTACCAGTAGTATAACTGGCTGGGTCCCAGAAATACTGTTTGTAAGGCTGGCATTACCAGTGTGGAATGCCCAGTGACCAAAGAGAACCAAGTTAATAAGTAAGAATCATATAGGCCCAGATACCGAGATATATTTAGGTACCTAAATCCCAATAAAATCAAAGGGAGTTAGATGCTTAAATGCCTTTGAGGGTCTGGTCCTGAGGGCCTAATTCTGATACTCCTGTTGAGTAGCATTTCACTCCATCGGGGATCACATCTCCATCTGTGGCTTTACATGGAATAAGATATAACATAAGAAAGTGTATTGGAATCTGACCCCTAGAGCTCCTCACCTTGACTTGAAATGTACACAGGACTGTCCTTGCCATCCACATCTTCTCGGCTCGCCTTCTCTTCTCTGACTGCTGATATAGCTTAAAGATCATGTTTTAGTTATGAAGTAAGCTTAGGAGATGGGAGGGAAATTCAATTTACTGCTTCTGTGACTAGAGATATGAAATAAATCTTAGATTCAATGATAGATCAATAACACCTAGATTGGGTTTAAATTATTAATAAACTATGAGAAATGAGCATAATTATTCTATGAATCCCAGTGCTTTGACGTCCTGTACATTTTCTCCCAAGATATCTGTATCAAAGCACCCCCTGCACCCCCTTTGGCAAAAGCAATAGTTAATAAGTTAATGTCCTTTGTTTTGCTTGCTAAGCATTTAGTAGATTCTGAGATGGGCTGTGGTAGGTTGGCGCCAGTAGTTGGAGTGCATGAAAATACTTCTGTTGGAGTGCATGAAAATACTACACGATACGTTCCCAGTGGCATGACAGACATCCTAGCTCACAGAGGCCCTGTGCATTCTGAATTCCGCCCCCAGGCTTACAGAAGGAACATCCTCCTTTGAAGAGGCTCATTCCTCTGAAAGGGAGACACACAGGCCCTAATCTCATACCAGTGTAAGCCAGAGTAAATCTACTGAAACGACTGGCGTTACAGTAGTGTAGGAGGACAAGAAGGCCCTTATCAGTTATTTAAGAGACCTATCCTGTTCCTAGGTATCCAGGAGAAACCACCTCCTTCTGCAAGAAAAAGGTGGGACCATTTTTTAACCAGCTGACTGGGAGTCCATTGTGGTAGACGTTTTAAGGCACTCCCACGTGAAGTGAACGTTCCCAGACAACAACCCCATAATGGAGCAGGAGATATCAGTGAGGGAGAAGGGACCCATTAGCCTGAGGCGACCTGTATTGATCATGGGGATAGGGATGGGAATGTGAGACAAAAGAAGCTCCCCATAACTAGAATGCTCCAAGTTTAAGGTCTGTCGTAGGCTACGTCTACACTGGAAGTAGCCCCCCACAGCTGACTCGGTCTCCTGGAGGTGTTCAATTGTAGTGTGTAGAATAGATGGTCAGGCTCTAGATGCAGTCTGGTCTGTATGTCACAGTGAGGTGGGAGTGTCCCGCAGATCAGGCGCCAGTCCAAGCCGTAAAATCTACACCTCAATTAAACCAGCCCATAGCCCAAGTCCCGTGAGTTTGAGTTTGAGTCAGCCAGCCGCAGGTTTTTAATTGCAGCCTAGACATGTGCTTGTTGGTTTATCTAGATTTCCACCACACCCCTGCAGGCTGGCCACAGGAGGGAGCCATGGGCCAGCTGAGGCAGTGAAACTGACAGCAGTCTGGCTGAGAACATACAGGTCCAAGGATCACCTCCCATTAAGGTCTCTCATATATTGCAGCCCTGCCTTCTGACTCCTATGGGGTCTTTCAGGGAAGCCTACACATTTCCGGTGGGCCTTCTGAACCAATGGCAATTTGATTCTATATTCAGAGGGTCATTATGACTCACGACATTGGTGCTGATGCTCACAAGTCATTCACACTGCATCAGATCTCAAGTGGATCCTTGGCTCTGATTCAGCCTTGGGTCTGAACTCTAGCCTATATCCAATGCCAATCAAGTGAGCTATCTGAGCCAATCTTTGCATAACATCCTAATAAACTACAAGGCAAAACAAACCTAGCTGCAGAAAAGCAGCTGTTCAAGTACAGATGCCCTGCACTGAATAGCAGCAAAGTGGCAAATCAGGAATGAGAGACATTTATCCTCCTGTCAAAATGCTTCAAATATATCAAAGTTCATGCTGAATAAAATTTTGCTTTTTTTTTTTTTTTTACTGATGCCACAAAGACATTTTTGACAGCAAAGCCACTGTTTCATTTTCCCAAAGTGCACTCTTTGGAAAGCAGAGTGGTTTGGATGTTAAGTACAGAGCTGCTGTTTGATGCTCACCATTTTCAATGGCTGACAGGGTTTTGTCTGAATAACTCCATTCCGTCTGGATCCCCAGATCTTCAACCTCACATCTTCTGAGAGAGGCAGAAGATCCACCAACAGACTTTCTGCAGACAGGACACAGCAGGCTGTTTTTTACATTACTACTAGTGACCAGGGTAGAAAAAGCATCAGAAGTGTTCATTGAAGTAAGACACAAGCCAAAATTTTCAGAAATGACAAGTGATTTCAGCAGGGGGTGTCACCAGCTTCTTTCCATTGGTGGAGGCTGAGATGGATAAGACAGTAAATTGAAGGGTGGTGGGCCTGGGCTATACGTTTTGTGAGCAATACCACTCTGACTTCTGCAGTTCTGCAGTCAGCAGCCCAGCTATCCAGCCCTAAAGGCATCACCACTGCCAGCAGCAGCGATGTAAGGGTAGCAGTCTCTTTCCATGATACCCTTACCTCCGCATGATGTTTGACATTTGCACTGGGAGGAGTGATTACAGGGAGGCCAAGGCAAATTTTGGGGTGGATATTACCTGTACAAGCCATCCCCGAGTGCCACCCCTAGATTTTGGGTGCTTCAGCTTGAGACACCTTAACAGGCCCGGATTTTCATGATGTGTGTTGGGGAGGGGGAGCGTGTAGAGGGAGGGAGGCTGCACTTTCTGAAAGCCAGATCCCTTTTAGGAGTCTTAACTTGGGCACCCACATTACCAGTCACTTTGGACTCACAAAAGGGAATGGATCTGTTATATGAGAGGCAGCTGTCAGAAGAAAGCCACACTTTCAAGTGAATGAAAACGTGGGGCAACTATGAGTCCCCAGCACCCAAAATACCTCAGTAGCCTTAGTAGAGATCCATTGTATAAAGGGCCAAGGAGCAAGCTTCCAGACTTGTCACATTCCTTGCTGCCGTTCCCTGGGGATTTCTAAACTAAGCATGACTGGCATGTGTGCCTCACGCCTGTCCTCAGTTGGGCATGATTGATGCTCTGCTCCTTTTATCTCAGGGAAATCGGCTGCGTCTTTCGATCGTGCTGATTGCTCAGCTCAGTTTCACTTCAGCATTCGCTCTGTGTTGTGTGTGCCCCGCAGTCCGACACAGGGGCTGGGTGTATGGGAGAGAAGGAGGTGGGTCTCATGAACCTAAGTTTGAATTAGCCACCAATGAGGTCTGAGGGATTGGCCTGTCATTTTCTGCACTTTCTTTCCACTGAAAATTGACTGCCAATCAGGGGAATCATTTTGAACTCATGTCAAAGAGCTGATATGGTTCCTGTCCAGCCATCTCCACCTGACATCCCTGTGAGATAGATAGTTAATTTGGTTGGATTCCTCAATGAAAACTGAAAGGTGTTCACAGTCTTCATGAGCATGCTGCTGCCTATGAGAAATGAGGATGAGCAGAGTGGCACCAGTGGCTGATTGAATGTGACCCCAGGAAGCCAGTGGATTTGTTTTCCCCTCGCATTAGTGATTCTCTGAGGCTGGTTACACATCGCTGCCTTTGTATTAGGTGTCTTATGGATCAGAATTTTAAAAGATTCTGGGCACAATACACACTGAAATTTACATATTAACTGACGAAAGCCCCAGGGAAGTGCAGGAATGACCTATTAGAGGTATTTACATGGCCCCATTACTGTAGTATCTGAGCACCTCACTCTCTTTCAACATTTTGACCCTCGCAGTGCAGGCTTGTGCAGCAGGGAAGTGCTCTCAGCTTCCACTTAGAGAGGAGGAACAGAAAGAAGCACAGAGATGCTAATTAACTTGCCCAGTGTCACACACACAAAGTTTGCTGCAGAGCAGGAAATTGAACCCATGTCCTCCAAGGCTCAGGCTAGTGCTTGAATCACTGGAACAGATGGTAACACTGAGCCAGATCGCTGGCTTCAATCCTACCTCATTAGGGTTCGTCTACACTGCAACGTTAACACAGTGCGCATCTACACTACAAGCCTTTATTTCGAAATAATGGTGAGCTGGAGAACTTCTTACTCTGACTCACGGAAACTCTCATTTTACAAGGAGTAAGGGAAGTTGAAGGAAGAGTGCTCTTCCTTCCACTTCCTGTTGTGTAGACAGTACCTAAAGCCGAGTTAAGTTATTTCTCCTTAAGCTACGCAATTGATGTAGTTGAAGTTGCGTAGCTTAATTTGACTTTAGCCCTATTGTGTACAGACCCTAAGGCACCAGATTTTTCTTCCATTTTAACAGACCATTTGCTTACTCTTGTGATCTCCTACTAGTCTTCTGGGGTGTTGTGTAGCTAATCTCTCACATATCACAGGGAAGTGATAGAGATGCAGCCATGTGTATCACAGGGAAGAAATTGTCCCAGGATATAAGCTGTTTTCCCAGTTTTTCAGAATGTTGGAATCAATGATGTCTCTGTTCTTCCAGGTTGCACATTACAGCCGGTGTTGATACCCCAGAATGCGACATTTCACTGTGTCTACATGCAGTAATACAATAAGGCTCTCTCTATAAACTAGCCACTGATCATTGGGCACACAGGCTTATTATTTTACTATTGGAAAATATTACTTAAATATTAAATAACATCCATGGGCCACATTCCCCCTTAGAGACAAGTAAAGCACAACAGAGATTAATTTGGTCCAGTTTATTTGGAGCCTAAATTGTACCTTCTTTCACAGCAACCCTGTTATTTCCCTCTCTCTCTGAGATTAAATAGGTCTGACATCTATAGAGGAGGACCTAAAACACTGGGACAGATCCTCAGATCATGTAAACAAGCATTGCGCCATTAAAGTCAATGAAGTGAACTGGGCTGATTTATGCCAAAAGAGGATCTGGCCCATTATTTCACCCAAGAGATAAAAATATTTTGTCAAATAAAATCATATAAATACATGCATATACACACAACTCCCAGAATGTATTTTCCTTTAAGAAAATCACATTGATGTCTGCACAGGTTGACAATGTCCCTTTTAATCTAGCAAGCAATGCAGGCTATGAGACAATTACTTAGACAGAAGTAACTTCCAGATTATTAATAGCACAGATACAGCAAATCCTGCCAGACGGTAGATGCTGGAGACATACAGTATATCTCCAGTTGTTGGATGTTCAAAGTCCTAGCATATGTATAGTACAAATGTACAATAATTTGACTGAATCGTAACGAAAAATGTTACCAGTTACTCTCCTTACTTTGATTCCTTCGACTTACAACCAACATGCAGAGTTGATGGAGAATCTGCCTGAAATTCTAGAGAAGAAGGGGAAGAAAAGTTTTCTTTAAATACATGTCTTGTCCTGTGGAAAAATGGGGCTTTTTTTTATGAAACAGGAGTATTGAATTGTCTTGCTATTCCTCTATTTTGTATTTCACCAGCATTGCTGCTTTAATTGGAAGCTTTTGTATTTTAATGATACAATACATTGTATGGGGGAAGCTTTTTCATTCAGATATAGAAAGCCTTTGGAGTCTGAGGACAGAATTTTCAAAAAATAAGTTTTACATGCAAATTTACTTTGCCTTCCTCTTCAGTGATGATTACAACTACACTACAGAGTATGAAGTGTAGTCATACTCTGCCATATGTTGTTCCCAGACTCAAAGCATTTTTAAGAGATAAAGCCATGACAGTGTGCCATGTAAATTACCTGTTCCCAGACTCAAAGCATTAAGAGATAAAGCCATGACAGTGTGCCATGTAAATTACTCTGCAAACCTAGCAATATGCCACAGGTACACAATTAGCAGCGTTATGTAAATTCCAATAATACACACACAAATACCAACCTACAGCAATGCGCCTTTTAAACTCCCACTGACAGCATGCCAAGTAAATTCCTTGCATACAGTCTAAACCAATATGTTTTGAAAATGTTTGTCTAAATCTTTCAAAGTGCCATGTAAAAATCTTATGTCTAAGGAATTAAATTGAATGTCAGTTGGCAGGAACCCCATGTTTTGCCCACTTATCAAAATAGCAGACTCCTGTGGACTTCTCACTCAATCCAATCATGCCTGTACTTCTGCCCAGTAGCGTGTTCTTCAGGGTGTGTGTGTGTGTGACTAATCTGAAACTAATTAGAATTGCACAATCAATTCTTTCTAGTTGAAAACAATTGTTAGTGGTGCTGAGGAGGAGGGTGTGGTATTGTGAGGAGCATAGAGAGGCTAAGACTGAGAGACCCCTGTGGTTGCTCAGTGTAAACAGCAGTGGATAAATATAGTAGCAGGGGCAGCAGCAGTGGAGCCATTACTATGGCTAGGGCCAGCCTGAGGGGGGTGCGGAGCCTGTGGCAACCCACTCCAATGTCCCTTGTATGTAGCATAGGGCAACACCCCTGCCACAGAACATATGCCCCCACAGCTAGAGAGTCTGGCTCCTTAGTTCAAGAAGTAGATGCTCTGCTTTAAAGATCATTGGGTCAATTCTTGGTGGTGGACAAGGCCATCACACTAGCACCAATGTAAACTCCCCAAGTATGGGTGCTCTAACCAGAGGAACTTGTACAGGGAGGGAGGGAAAGACAACAGAGAT